CCGCGCGTCTGCCCCTCCCGCGCAGTCTGCCCCTCCCCCGCCGTCTGCCCTCCCCCGCCGTCTGCCCCTCCCCCGCCGTCTGCCCTCCCCCGCCGTCTGCCCTCCCCCGCTCCCCGCAGTGTTTCTCGGGTGCCGAGTGCCGTCCCGCTCGCTCTGGCCTGCGCGTTTGCCGCCCGCGGGGCGGATGCGGCGGGGCAGCTGCGGGGGAGCCGGGCCTGGACCTCCGGGGGTGTAGAGGGAAGCAGCTCAGGTGCTGAGGCATAAGAGGACAAGGGCAGGACGAAGGAGGGAGTCCACCCAGAGCTCCTCTCTGCCTCACCATCTTTTTCTGGAAGACTCAGTGGGGTTTCTTTCAACCCTGCGAGTTTCTGTCCACTGATTTATCTCAAGAGGAACCCGAGAGCTAAACTGAAAATTTGTGGCTTTACAGCCTGGAGCAAGTGACAGCTTCTCCCAGAACCTCAGTTTTTCCACCAGTGAAATGGGGTAAGTGGTCTTGCCTGAGACCTTCTTGCTGGGGGTTCTTTGATGGGTGAAACTTTTCACAGCACTTTACAAGACTCAGATGAAAGGCGACCGTGGGATGAAAGGGCCTTGGGGCCATATTAAGTTCTCCTGGTGGAGGAAGTGGCCAGCTGACAGGTAGTTGTGAAGCCACCCAGGGGCCCAGGCCGCTGGGGAATTAGCATGCCAATCAGCCACACCTAGGGCGTGAGGGGCTGGGAGGGGCACCCTTATCAGGGATGCAATCTGTCATTCCCTGCGGAGGGGGACTTGGGGGCCCTGCTGAGGAAGCTGGAAATGGGGCCCAAGGGACGGAAGCCAGCATGCAGCCCCAGTAACCTAGGTGCAGGCCTTCCCCCAGCTCTGAGCCTCAGTTTACAGATGCGTGAAAGGAGGAGGAGGAGGAGGGCAGTGGTGCCCGAATTGGCTACACTCGTGTTGGTGTTAATGTCTCATCACAATCTCCCGGGGAAATTTTAAAAATTCTGATGCCAGTCTGTACCCCAGATGAAATAAATCTGAGTTTCTGGAGGGGGGACCCAATGTCAGTTTTTTAAAGCTTCCCAGGTGATTCCTGTGCAGCCTGGTTTGAGAACCACAAAAAAGATTTCTAGAATCCTGTATTCCATAATCATAACTCACTTTCCCACCGAATGAAGAGGCGGGGATTTTGAGATTTGACTTGCATGTCTGAGTCTTTGGAGCAGCCTATGTGTTCAGAATTCAATTATTAATTTATTTCCAACCATTTCTCAATTGTACCTTAGAAGGCAAAATATGGCAGAACTGAAATCCACATATAAACTTTCCAGTACTCTTTTTGGTCAGGTTTTATTCTCCTCCTTGACCAATTTTTTTTTTTTTAAGTTTAGAGTAGAGAGCATATATTCAGGGCAACTTCAATCTATGCTTCCAGGAAAATGAAAATATATTTTTAAAAATTGGAATTGCAAGTAGATATCCCACCAGGGTATTTTGAGTTTTAGATCTCGTTTCTGTTCTCCTGGCCCTCTTTGGTGGCAACCTCAAGGAACCGTGACATATCTGAAAGCCAGCAGTCAGGAGAGATAGCAAGAAGCAAGGATTAGCCACAGACCTGCAAATTATCAGCAGTAGGAGGGAAGCCCCAAGCCTGGCCCCTCTCTGTCTGCCTCAGAGACCCCCAAGTCCGCACCCTCATCCCTGCTCACGGTGGACCTGGAGGGACAGAGCCATCAGACCTTCACCAAGTCCCATGACAGGGCTTGGACCTGCCCTGGGACCCTGAGTGCCTGAGGGTCAAGCACACACAGGCAGGACCATTTGCTGCACACGGTGCAGGGGCTCCAGGCTCTGAGGGGTACTTAGGCCGAGACAGCATAGGGACATGGAAAAAGAGCCAGTGCTGTGTCGTGAGTTGCAGGAACAAAGGAAACAGACAGAGATGGCCAAATGCCCAGTGGGTTTTTTATTTGTACCAAGTTCTTTGGCACCTGGCCCCTCCTGCTGCCATGATGGGTGCTGTCCCCTCAGGGTTCCAGAATTTCCCCTCACCCCCGATGCCTGAGGCTCTGTAGAGATCCCTGATTTCCGCCCTGGCTGAACATACATCACACAAGGCCTGGCAGATGGGAGGTGGCCTTACTGCCCCAGCAGCACCCTCATGCCCACCTCTCTGTTGCGGATGCAGCCGTGGACGGCAGACCCTTGGGACTGGATACATTGGGCTTTCATTACAGAATCTTTTCCTGGACTCTGACCAATAGTGCACTTCATGTAGACTCAAGTCGCAAACCTTCTTCTGAGCCTTGGCTCTCAACCCATCCACGCAGGAACAAGCATAATCCAATGAGGCCCTGCCCAGCCTGTTGAAAGGAGAAAGCAGTGTCCATGCCAGCTAGGCACTTTCTAGATGTTCTGCACATATTACCTCAACAAATTCCCCAACAATCCATGCTTCACATACTATTTCTTCCATTGACAGGTTGGGAAACTGAGGCTCTGTGAATGTAGATGAGCACCCCAATCTCCCACAGCTTGTATGTTATAGGGATGGGTCTGCCATCCCTCCAAACTCCACTGTGGCCAGGCACGGTGGCTCAAACCTGCAATCCTAGCACTCTGGGAGGCTGGGGTTGGGAGTTCAAAACCAGCCTGAGCAAGAGCTTCCCATCTCTATTAAAAACAGAAAAATTAGCCAGGCATGATGGCACATGACTGTAGTCCCAGCTACTCAGGAGGCTGAGGCAGGAGATTTGCTGGAGCCCAGGAGTTTGAGGTTGCTGTGAGCTATGCTGATGCCACGGCACTCTAGTCCTCCATCCTGGGGACTCTGGGGTCCACTGGAGACCACGGGAAAGACCAAGTCGCCTGCCTCAGCACTTCCCTGCCTGCTTCCAGCCATTTAGGGCAACCAGGAATCAAACCCTTCCTTCCACAGGAACCCCGAAGAGACTAGATTTTGAGACAACATCTCTGTCCTCAGAAAACCAGTTTGAGGACAAAACAAAAGGATATGCCCTGGCACTGCAATCCCTCAGATCAATGCACCCTCCAAAGAAGGCCTACGCTTTGGCCTACGCTCAAACGTAGGCCACTTGCTGCTCCATCGCCACAGCACCCAAGGACCCTAGTGGGTTTTGAAGCTCTTCCCCGGCCTACGCAGACCCTTGGTGTTTCCTGTCCTGTCACTGGGGCTCTGACTGTGTCTAGGACCCACACCGAGAATCCCTCTTTCTCTGCTGGAAGGCCAGGCCAGCATAGCACCCCAGGGGGACACGGGCTGATACGCTGAGCAGATGCGGTGGGTCAGCAGGAGTGGGCTCTTCCATCAGCTGGTGGTGACTCAGGCCAGCCCTTAACCCCTCAGATTTCTCATCCATATAGCGTGAGCACCGGCCTCCCGGGTTCCAGCTCCGTGGCTCAAGCCCTTACCTAGCCAGTGCTGCGAGAAAGAATCGTTACTGACAAAGGGTCTTTGCTGGGCCAAACTTCAGTCAGCTTCCTGAACCTTCTCCTAGGCCCATCTGTGCACTTTCTTGTAAAATCGAGTTTTAGCAAGAACTCTGCCTAGTCAGGCCAGCAAGAACCCGGCACCCTCAATATCTGATCCAGTTCCTCATCCTCCACCACCCCTAGGCCATGTCTGATCACCTGGCCTGTCTTCAGCAAGAGTCCTGCTAAGTGGCTTTAGTCAGAGTCCCCCCACCCCTGATGTTTCCTTTTACACATTTTCTGTCCACTGACCCCCACACCTCACCCTGCTCCCTGGCTACAAATCCCCACTTGCCCAGGCTGTGTTTGGAGTTGAGCCCAATCTCTGTCCCCCACTGCGACCCCCAGAGACTGCAGCGGTCTCTGTACTGTGGTGACGGTCCTGAGTGAAGTCTTCCCCACAGTGCTTTCACAAGTGTTAAAGTGTCATTGAATATGTTTTTGTATACTTGTCATTGAATAAAAGTGTCATTGAATACTTTTTTCTTTCTTTCTTTTTGAGACAGGGTCTCTGTCACCAGGGCTGGCATGCAGTGGCACGATCATAGCTCTCTACAGCCTCAAGGCGCTGGGAGTCCAGGGGTGAGCCATGCACCCGGCCAGTAAGTTTTCTTTAACATCACGCAGTGCCACCACCTTCTGGGACAAGGCCCCGCTGCCCTTGCCCAGGTGTGCGGAAAGATACCTGCACAGTGCGTTCATCAAACCTGCGTGCCGTGCCTCCACCACCCACAGCTCCAGAGGTGCCTACTCCCTGGTATGACAAACTAGGGTACATTGGTTCAAAGAAAATCTAGACCCCAATGAAAACAATCTGTGGCTCTAAATGTACTATCATGGAAAGAGGCCCCCAAGATTTATGAAATAAAAAAAGCAAATTGCCAAACAGGGTGTATACTAAAAACACATTTTCATATTTTTAAAATAGATCAAGCCCGTCTATACATGTGTATATCTGCATCTGCATAGAAAAGATTTCAGGGAATGTTATATAAGGAACTCGCACCTCTGGGAAGTGGGCCTGGGCGGGGGAGGGGAATTTAACTTTGTACTCTTCCCTTTCAGTGCTGTGTGAATCTTTTTTACTACAAATATATGTTATTTTCTGATTAATGAAAAAGTAAACATATTAGAAAGAAGTCAGGCCGGGCGCGGTGACTCACACCTGTAATCCTAGCACTCTGGGAGGCCGAGGCGGGCGGATTGCTCGAGATCAGGAGTTCAAAACCAGGCTGAGCAAGAGCGAGACCCCGTCTCTACTATAAATAGAAAGAAATTAATTGGCCAACTGATATATATATATATAAAATTAGCCGGGCATGGTGGCACATGCCTGTAGTCCCAGTTACTTGGGAGGCTGAGGCAGGAGGATCGCTTGAGCCCAGGAGTTTGAGGTTGCTGTGAGCTAGGCTGACGCCATGGCACTCACTCTAGCCTGGACAACAAAGCGAGACTCTGTCTCAAAAAAAAAGAAAAAAAAGAAAGAAGTCAATGAGGAATAAAGAATATTTCTTTATTAATGATTAATAATAACTATTAATCGTTTTGATTATATCAATTATTCTAGTATAGCTATAGAATATATTTATATTTTAAATTTATTAAAATACATGATATATTGAAATATATTAATTATAATTAATATTGAGGATTAATAGATAAAATCCACAAGGAATAAAAATAATAAGAAAATATTGCCTTATTCCGCAGTCTGTCTGGCTTTGGACTGTCGGTGTGTTCTCTGAGGCTCTCCCCTGTTCCACACCATGTCCCTGCTTCCCAGATAACTTTAAAAATGTTTTTTAAACATGAATACATGTAGCTTGGCACACAGGCCTGTGCTATGAGGGAGAGGGTGTGGCTGGTCTTCACTCTTGGGACTTTTTTATAAGGTTCTTTTTAACACAGGTTTTATTTGATTATCACCTTTATATCTGCCTCAGCCGGAATCCTGCTGTCTGGCGCCTGGGAAGCCGACACCCTAGTCCCTGCTCTGGGCTGGCACACCCCATTTTCCTGGGTGTCAGGACTTCCTGCAGATATGCGGAGAGACAGGGCCGGTTCTGCCTGCTCAGAGTTCCTGCCTCTGAAGCCTCCAGCTGCAACCACTCAGGGGGGGACCTGGGGATGACATGCCTGGTGCCTGGGGCAGGTGGGCAGGGGAGGGGACGCAGGGTGTCCTGCAGTGCCCCAGGCAGCTCACCTCACACCCCACAACAAAACACAATCTGTAATTATTTGCGCATAGACCCTGCATTTGATAAATAAACCCAACGAATTTGTGCATGCTTTTAACATACACTAAATTTTCCAGGAAAGTATCTACTATAGAAACTAACATTTTTCTCAAGAGTTGTTCAAAATTTAAAAGATCACATCACCCACAGCGACACCACTATCCATGTGCACTTGCAGCAGGTGCTTTCTGGGTGATTCCATGGATAGGCTCAAGTGTGGGGCCACTTCATCATGGTCCTGGGAGTCGTGTGCAAATATTCACAGTTTATTATTAATCGTTTTCCTTGTATTTCTCCTTTGTATTATAATTAGGACATTTACAAATGCATTGTGTAGATTCTTTGTTTTAACTATGAATTTCTTTCAGATAGTAAAATGATCTGCTTGACAAAGAGCCTTTCGATCTGATAGGATTCAGACCTGTGGCACCCAGATGTCCCCGCACCTGGAATATGTGGTAGGGGCTCAATAAATGTTTGTTGAATGAATAGGTTTACTACCAGTAGGAAAATCTTCCCGGGAAGTTAACACCAGCCCCTTGCTCTGTCCTGTGCATGTAGTAAGTGACCAAAAAATGTTTCTTAAATGAATGTGTGAAAATGATTGAGATTTTTGGCAGAAGAGGAAGCATGTTCAAGATAACCTTGTCACTTACCCTGCTTTTCAGATATTTTGGGAACACTCGCAGGACGATGAAATATTCTCTGAAGGGAAACAAAGGTAAGAAAGAGGGGGGAGGGGTGGCAAGGACATTATACGCAATCTTAAAATTTGTACCCCCATAATAGGCAGAAATAAAAAAAAAAAGAAATGTTTCCAGCCTTTATATCATTTTTTTTTTAAGACAGAGTTTCACTTTGTTGCCTAGGCTAGAGTGAGTGCCGTGGCATCAGCCTAGCTCACAACAGCCTCAAACTCCTGGGCTCAAGCAATCTTCCTGCCTCAGCCTCCCGAGTAGCTGGGACTACAGGCATGCGCCACCATGCCCGGCTAATTTTTTCCTATATATATTAGTTGGCCAATTAATTTCTTTCTATTTTTAGTAGAGACGGGGTCTCGCTCTTGCTCAGGCTGGTTTTCGAACTCCTGACCTTGAGCAATCCGCCCACCTCAGCCTCCCAGAGTGCTAGGATTTACAGGCGTGAGCCACCGCGCCCGGCCTATCCCATGTATTTTTTAATCTGCATAAATATTTTAGCCCAAAAGAATCATACTATAAACATAGTTCTGCACCTTGCTTTTGTAACATAGTAATACATTTTTGAGATCTTTCCATATTGGGGCATCCCTATTAATAGGTACTATAACTCCACTGAATGAATGTACTGCAATGTGTATCACTTGTCCCGTATTGATGGGCACTCGACAGTGTCTATCTGCTGAGCTTACATCTTGGCACACTTTTGAGAGTTCTCTGCACCCCTCACTAAGAGACTAGATTTATTTATTTAATTTATTTCTTTTTTGAGACAAGGTCTCTCTGTTAGGAGCCCAGGCTGCTCTTGAACTCCTGCCTTTGAGTGATCTTTCCTCTTCAACCTCCCAAAGTACTAGGATTACAGCCTCGAGCTACTGAGACTGTATTTAAATCTTGTCCTTCCCTGGCCAGCCCCAGCCAAAGAGAGGGGAGGGCAAGGTTTGTCCCTAAAACAGCAACCTCTGCTGGGCTTGGCCAGGAAAGCGCCCCATTAGGAATCCTGTTAAAGGTGTTAGTAGAACGCATGATAATAAAAGCTCTCCAGTGGCAGAATTCTGCATATTTTTTCTCTATATCTGTGTTGCCAAAATATTCTAAAAAATCCCTAGATTTTATCTTAAATAGTTTTATGGCACATGCTGGAGGGAGGTAGGATGCCTTTTCCTTCTTGCACAGGGTCCCCGCAAGTGGCTTTACCTGCAGCAGTCCAGGTGTGGAGTGGGAGCTGGGGTTTCTTACTGTGCTCTAGGGGTTTCGTGACAGGATCTTTCTTACTCCCTTGTGACACAGGACTCTGGGAGAGTTCCATAAAAATAGTAACAATAAAATAGCTTGGCTGGGCATGGTGGCTCACACCTGTAATCTTACCACTTTGGGAGACCAAGGTGGGAAGATTGCTTGAGGCCAGAAGTTCGAGATCAGCCTGAACAAGAGCGGGATCCATCTGTACAAAAAACAGAAAAATTAGCCAGGTGTGGTGGCGCATGCCTGTAGTCCCAGCTATTTGGGAGGCTGAGGCAGGAGGATCACTTGAACTCGGGAATTAGAGGTTGCAGTGAGCTGTGGTGATGCCACTGCCCTCTAGCCCAGGCAACATGGTGAACCTCTGTCTCAAAGAAATAAATAAATAAAATAAAATAGCTGACATTTATGGAGAATTTACTATGCCAGTAACTATTCTAAGTGTGGTTATAAGTGTTAAGTATTGTTAATCCTTATAACAGCATTCTGATGGATACTATTATTATTACTCTATTTTGCAGACGTAGAAACTGAGGCATAGAGCAGTTATGTAACATGCCTAAGACCTGGCTCCAGAATTGTGCAAACTGGCTCTAGAGTCGAGAATGCTTAATATTACACTATCACCTCTCTGTTAAGTAATGTTCTATTCCTATATAAATAGATCTCCCTGACCCTCTAGTTCCTCTGCCATAAAATGGGGCCGTAACACCTACTTCAGGATATATTTGAGAAATAAATGAGACAAAGTATGTGAAGTGCCTGAGACACAGTATGCGTGAAATAAAGTAACTGACCATCGCCCATGTCCTGGGCATGTTACCCAGGCCGGGCTGCAGAGGCATGCTGCGCACGGATCCTGGTCTGGCAAGGGCACAGCCTCTGAGGAATGCTCACAGAGAAGCTGTGTTTGTGGTGTCCAAACTGCCCAGCAGTGACTCAGGCTGACGTTGCCCCAAGAGGGCCCCTCAGTGGAAAGACCATGCACTTCTGCACAGGAAAAGCCGAGGCCCCACGCGTGAGCAAGATTCCTGAAGTGTGGCCAGCCTGGCCTGGAGGCACTGCGGCTTGGAGTTGGATAGACCTGCACATCCGGGCTCTGCCCCTGGCTCTGGCCAAGGGTGTGTCACCCCACATGCATTGATTAACCTCAGAGATTTCGTTTCCTCATTTTTCAATGTGGACAGAGATACTTAAACGGTTATTTTGAGGCTTAAATGAGACAATGTATGTAAAGAGTTTAGCCTAGTTCTTGGCACATTCAAAGTGTTCAGTAGCTATTACTGGTGTTCTTTAATAGTCAGTTCTAATTGTTAGAAAGTTACTGAGCTGGACTTGGTCTCCTGTAACTTCCTGGCATTGCTGTGAAATCTGCATACTCCTTCAGTGTGTGTGCCAGGGACTGGGCCAGGTCTGTGAGCACAGTGGAAAATAAGGACCAGTCCCTGTTTATGGGAGAAGCACTTCCTCCACATGAGGGTCATTGGGATGTGTAATGATAGCTATCACGGATTCCTTGATTTACCTCATTCCCAGGTTCAACTTCCCTCTCCTGGATCCATTTAGCTACACATCTTGCATCTTGTTTGTTGATTTCAATTAAGTTTCAAAAAAATACTTATATACAAACACAATGAAATACTTATATACAAACACAATGAGTGAGATGTGCAACGTTTGGGGGATGGTCACGCCTGAGGCTTGGACTTGAGGGGAGAAGGGAGCAAGGGCAATATACGTAATCTTAACACTTGTACCCCCATAATACGCTAAAATAAAATAAAATAAAAACTCCTCCTTCAGGAAGCCTTCCCAAATTGCACTAAGCAATTGTATCACCCGTTTTTGTTTTTTTTTTTAATTTCAGCATATTGCAGGGGTACAAATGTTTAGGTTGCACATATTGCCTTTGCCCCACCAGAGTCAGAGCTTCAAACGTGTCCATCCCTCAGATGGTGTGCACTGCACCCAGTAGGTGTGTATATTCCTCTCCCCTCCTCCCTCCTCCCTCCTCTCATCTGCCCATCTCCCAATGAATGTTATTACTATATGTGCACATAAGTGTTGTTCAGTTAAAACCAATTTGATGGTGAGTACATGTGCTGCTTGTTTTTCCATTCTTGGGATACTTCACTTAGTAGAATGGGTTCCAGTTCTACCCAGGATAATACAAGAGGTGCTATATCACCATTGTTTTTTGTGGCTGAGTAGAACTCCATGGTATACATATGCCACATTTTATTAATCCACTCATGTATCGATGGGCACTTAGGTTATTTCCACATCTTTGCTATTGTGCTGCTATAAATATTCGAGTGCAAATGTCTTTTTTTATAGAATGTCTTTTGTTCTTTTGGTTAGATCCTCAGTAATGGGATTGCCGGATCAAATGGTAGATTCACTTGTATCTCTTTCAGGTATCTCCATATTGCTTTCCACAGAGGTTGTGCTAGTTTGCAGTCCCACCAGCAGTGTATCACCCCCTTCTGATCATCCTATAAACACTTGGGGACCCAGTTCCCACTCTTCCTATTTGTTTACACTTGCCAATTTTCTGGTGTGTTCTCACTTTTCTGGAGAGCAACTCAAGAGTCCCAGGCACTGTGTAAGGAAGTGGAAGACAGCACTCACGAGCCACAGCCCACATCCTTCAGAAGACCTTGTTCAGTCTTTAGCTTGGCCACCAGGGAGCTCAAACACATGTTGTAGGTATAAGAAAGTCACATGTATGAGAGTGCATGCAGGAGCAGGGAAAAGCACAGGCTGGCTCCAGGTTCCAGGACCCATGGGTGACTGAGCAATCCTGGAAGTTGGGTCTTCCGGCATTAGTTCTGTGCTCTTTCAAGAGCAGCCCTGGAATATACCCAAGTGAGGACTACCTCTAGGCTTTGCGGGGCCTGAAGCTTAGACAGTTATAGGGCTTGGGGCGACGGCAGGTGGTCTTTAAAAAAAAAGAATAGGCAAGATAGGCTGGATGCGGTGTGCCATGTTTGTAATCCCAGCACTTTGGGAGGCCGAGGTGAGGGAAGATTGCTTGAGGCCAGGAGTTGGAGACCAGCTCACTTGGCAACATAGTGAGACCCTGTCTCTACAAAAAATTTTAAAAAATTATCCAAGTGTGGTGGTGTGTGCCTATACTCCAAGATGCTGGGGAGGTTGAAGCAGAAGGATTGCTTGAGCCCAGAAGTTTGAGGCTGTAGTGAGCTATGATCACACTACCACACTCCAGCCTGGGTGATGGAGTGAGACTCTATCCCTGAAAAAAAAGAAAAGAAAAGAAAAATAAGAATAGAAAATTATTAATAGGTACAAAAATGATAAATTAGAATGAGAAAAGAGACCACAACAAATTGCAGCTGTTAAAAAGCTAATATCTGCCGGGCGCAGTGGCTCACACCTGTTATCCTAGCACTCTGGGAGGCCGAGGCGGGTGGATTGCTCAAGGTTAGCAGTTCAAAACCAGCCTGAACCAAGAACGAGACCCTGTCTCTACTAAAAAGTAGAAAGTAATTAATTGGGCAACTAAAAAATATATAGAAAAAATTAGCCGGGCATGGTGGTGCATGCCTGTAGTCCTAGCTACTCAGGAGGCTGAGGCAGGAGGATTGCTTGAGCCCAGGATTTGAGGTTACTGTGAGCTAGGCTGGCGCCACGGCACTCTAGCCCGGGCAACAGAGTGAGATTCTGTCTCAAAAAAAAAAAAAAGCTAATATCAGAAAATTTAAATAACTATCATATTATTATTTGACTTCCGGTCACAGCTCTGTACATATTTTTCTTCCTACATTTTTTGGCTGCATACTCCTTGTTCTGCACATGATAATTTTATAATTTAATTTTCTATAGAGAGAATAGAAATAATTCAGGTTTTTATATCCATCATTTAGAAAAGTTTCATCTTCTCTAGATCCTGGGGCAGACAGGCCCAGAGCCCCAGCCTTTGCACTGGCTGGCAGCCCCTCTTCCCAGACCCTATTCCCAGGAGGTGGCCACTGGGCCGCGTGTGGGCGTAGGTCTGTGAGCCCCGCCAGCACCTCCCAGCAGGGGCAGCACTACCGTCTCCAACCAGCAGGTGGGGCTGAGGAGCCCTGAAGCTTAAGCTTTGGTCTCGAGTGTCTTTGGAGCAGAGGCCTCCTTCCCAACCTTCCAGGGCTTCTTGCTGTCGTTGGAGGAGATCATTTAATAATAATTATCATCATCATTATTATATGAATATTAGTTTGCAAGGCAAATGGAAGCATGCTCCCCACATTGGTAATGTTGGTTAGATCTCAATAATGGGATTACGGGAGACTTTTGTTTTTTAAAAAACAAATTTCTATATGTATTTGAGTTTTTTGGTCAGAATTAATTTTACTTTTGAATCTGAAAATATAAAATCACTTCATAATGGACAGTGGCCCTTAAGAGTGTTTTGGATTTGAAGGCCAGAGAGGAATGTTGACAGCAGCTGTAAGAATCATATCCATTTATCACAGTTTCTAAAGCACTTTTCCAGAGATAAGTTAATCTAGGCCTATCAACATCATGTGGCGAAACCAGGGCAGAAACAATTTCTCCTTTTTACAGATAAGGAGGCAGAGGTCCAGAAAATGGGCCTAGGGTTGCAACAGCGAAAATGTGACAGACCCATTTCCCTCCCATACTTAGGCGGCTCTGCTGGCTCTGTTACCTGTGTTGCAGGGCTCTCTGGCCCGTGTCTCTCTCGTCATCTCCCTGCCCTGCTCCTCTTCCGGATCTCGTCGTTTTCACTGGGGCTGTGACAGCAGCTCCATTCTGAGCGCCCTACTGTCCGCTTCCTCTCCAGCCTCTCTTTCGTGACACTCCCTGGAATAAACCCTTCGCCAGCTCCCACCACCGACAGGACAACCTCTGGCCTTTCTAGCCCTGCTCATCTGGTCCCTGCATCCCTCTCTGGGTCCATCTCCTGCCACTCCTCCCTTGCAGTACATGCACTGCAAGCCCGAGCCAGGCTGTGGTGTTATAGACTGGACGTTTATATCCCTCTAACATATTAAATTTTTTTTGCAGGTAGATGCATATGTCAAAATGGATCAAACTGTAGACTTTAATATTTGCAGTTTATTGTACATCGATTATACCTCAATAAAGCATGAAAAAAGTTTCATAGACTCTTGCTATTTAAAGTGTGGTCTGTAGGCTGAACATAATGGCACATGCCTGTAATCTTAGCACTTTGGGATGCCAAGGCAAGAGGACTGCTTGAGGCCAGCAGTTTGAGACCAGCCTGAGCAAGAGCAAGACCCTGTTTCTATGAAAAATAGAAAAATTAGCTGGGTGTGGTGGGGTGAGCCTGTAATCCCAGCTACTTGGGAAGCCGAGGTGGGAAGATCACTTGAACCCAAGAGTCTGAGGTTGTAGTAATTGATGATGACACCACTACACTCTAGGCCAGGGTGACAGAGCGACACCCTGTCTTAAAAAAAAAAAAAGAAGAAGGCTGGATGCCTATAAACCTAGCACTCTGGGAGGCCAAGGCAGGCGGATTGTTAGAGCTCTGGAGTTCGAGACCAGCCTGAGCAAGAGCGAGACCCCTGTCTCTATTAAAAAAAATAGAAAGAAATTAGCTGGACAACTAAAAATATATAGAAAAAATTAGCTGGGCATGGTGACGCATGCCTGTAGTCCCAGCTACTCAGGAGGCTGAGGCAGGAGGATTGCTTGAGCCCAGGAGTTTGAGGTTGCTGTGAGCTAGGCTAATGCCACAGCACTCACTCTAGCCTGGGCAACAGAGTGAGACTCTGTCTAAAAAAAAAAAAAGTGTGGTCTGTAGACAATAGTATCAGCCATCGCCAGAAAGCTTATTAGAAGTGCATCCTCTCAGGCCTCCTATCACCCCTACTGGGCCAGAATCTGCAGTTTAATAAGACGTTCAGGTGATTCCTGTGCACATTACAGTTTGACTTCTTAGTATAGTGAAAGTCTAGAACTAATCTCCCATGGTAAATTAAAAAGGAAATTATATTTCCTAATCCTCTTTTAGCCACTAAGAGCAATTACCTATCAGGTAGCCTTTGATGGTTCTATTAGCAAGAGGTGTTCTGTTTGTTTTTTTGAGACAGAGTCTCACTCTGTTGCCTGGGCTAGAGTGCCGTGGCGTCAGCCTAGCTCACAGCAACCTCAAACTCCTGAGCTCAAGCAATCCTCCTGCCTCAGCCTCCCGAGTAGCTGGGACTACAGGCATGCATCACCATGCCCGGCTAATTTTTTCTATATATTTTTAGTTTTCCAGCTAATTTCTTTGTATTTATAGTAGAGACGGGGTCTCGCTCTTGCTCAGGCTGGTTTTGAACTCCTGACCTTGAGCAATCTTCTCACCTCGGCCTCCCAGAGTGCTAGGAAAACAGGCGTGAGCCATCATACCCAGCCTAGCAAGAGGTTTTACTGTTTGGTCTGGAAGATATTCAGGTTTTTCAAGAATATTCAAAATGTTAAATTCCAAAATAATAACAAAACGTCAATAATGATTAATTTCTTGTTATATTTTACCTATCTTCCCATGTATACTCCACAGGTTTTAATATTTATTGTATACTATTTTTTAAAATAACATTTTTCTGATTATTAATACAAAAGAAATGCTTATTGTGGAAAATTTGGAAAACAGACTCTATAATTCCATGAAGCAGAACTATATTTACCCTCGTCACTATCACCCACAACAGTTATTTTATTATTTTTTTTGAGACAGAGTCTCACTCTGTTGCCAGGGCTAGACTGCCATGGCGTCAGCCTAGCTCACAGCAACCTAAAACTCCTGGGCTCAAGCGATCCTTCTGCCTCAGCATTCCAAGTAGCTGGGACTATAGGCATGCACCACCATGCCCGGCTAATTTGTTCTATATATTTTTAGTTGTCCAGCTAATTTCTTTCTATTTTTTTTTTTTAGTAGAAATGGGGTCTCGCTCTTGCTGGTCTCAAATTCCAAAGCTCAAACAATCAATCCACCTGCTTCAACCTCCCAGAGTGCTAGGATTATAGGTGTGAGCCACTGCACCTGGCCTCACAATGGTTATTGAATTCTAAAGGTAGGACGCTGAGCTAGCCACAAGGGAATACATTTATGACTTCTTGAAGGTCAGGCCTTGTAATATTCATATTTTTAGACTAATTAAAGCTAAATCTAAAGTTCCAAGTTAAGTAGAAAGAACACCGGGCTTGCAGTAGTAGAATTAGTTTTGATTCCCCTACAGCTATAAGTGGGTTTGCCACAAAGTTTATGAAGCTCAAGCTTCTGGGCCCCTCAGAGGGGCCCTAGCAGTGTAGGAACATGGTCAAATATTTCTGTAAAATTTTTGGGAGTAAGATGTTTAATACCACTATCTCTTTGTTCCTGACTTCCCTTCATCATACTTCTCCTTTGCATTAGGGGGTATTGGAAAATGGCCATAGGTGTTTTGGGGAACCTGGATCTCACTGAATAAAGGATACATTTAATTTGGATTTAGTGGCATGCATTTAAGTGGTGTGCAGTCATTCCTTCATATTTTTAAATTATTGCTAGTCATTGGAATACATCTACTGCCCATTATGCCAATTCAGCCAGCACTATGTCACAAAAGTGCGGGACAGGAGGGCACAGGAGCTCTATGGTGCCTGACACAGAAAGTACATAGGTGGTGGAGGAAAAGAAGGATTGAAAGGAGAAGCTAGTCCATAGAAAATTCTTACAATCATCAGCAATGAAAAATTACAAGTAGGCCGGGCGGGGTGGCTCACGCCTGTAATCCTAGCACTCTGGGAGGCCGAGGCGGGTGGATTGCTCGAGGTCAGGAGTTCGAAACCACTCTGAGCAAGAGCGAGACCCCATCTCTACTAAATAGAAATTAATTGGCGAACTAATATATATAGAAAAAATTAGCCGGGCATGGTGGCGCATGCCTGTAGTCCCAGCTACTCGGGAGGCTGAGGCAGGAGGATTGCTAGAGCCCAGGAGTTTGAGGTTGCTGTGAGCTAGACTGACGCCATGGCAGTCTAGCCCTGGCAACAAAGTGAGACTCTGTCTCAAAAAAAAAAAAAAATTACAAGTAGAGGGATCAATTATCTCAATGCCTAATCAAAATGGAGGTTCTTACTCAACATGAATCTACAAGTCAGTCACATATGCGACTCTAAATGTACTATACTTCTTGTTTTCATGTGAATCATTCAAAAGGGAATATAATTTCTGTGTTTATGGGATAAACTTGTAGTTTTACCACAGTGAGTCTGTCTGTATGTGAAGTATATGTTTTATTCATCCTAATGGATCAGATCTTGTCTGAATATATTAATAGAATACAAATCTTGTCCTGAAAAACCTCTGGGGCTGTAGTAAGAACCACACACAAGGCTGAGCGCGGTGCTCATGCCTGTAATCCTAGCACTCTGGGAGGCTGAGGTGAGTGGATTGCTCGAGATCAGGAGTTTGAAACCAGCCTGAGCGAGACCCCGTCTCTACTATAAATACAAAGAAATTAATTGGCGAACTAATATATATAGAAAAATTTAGCCAGGCATGGTGGTGCACGCCTGTAGTCCCAGCTACTTGGGAGGCTGAGGCAGTAGGATTGCTTGAGCCCAGGAGTTTGAGGTTGCTGTGAGCTAGGCTGAGCAACAAAGTAAGACTCTGTCTCAAAAAAATATATAAATAAATAAAAATAAACAAACATAAAAAAAAAGAACCACACACAAAATTACCACTGAAGCAGCCAAATGGCTCTAAAACCTCATAGCTCATATATAAGGGAAACTTGGTTTTCCCAAATTTGACAATAGCCCTTAAAAAGTACATGACATTATCAGTAATGAGTTGTGATGCTGAAAGAAACTTATAAACAATTATTAATAAGAAACAAATTTAATCAACTATGCTAGAGAAAAGACTAATTGATCTCTTCTTTGTAAAAAATATTACAAAATAAAGCCAGGGCCAATGGCTCATGCCTGTAATCCCAGCATTTTGGGAGGCCAAGGGGAGAAGTTTGATTGAGTCCAGGAGTTTGAGACCAGCCTGGGGAACATAGAAAGACCATCTCTCTTAAGAAAAACAAAAAAAAACAAAAAACAATAGCTGGAGTTGGTGGGGCACACCTGTAGTAAGTCCCAGCTACTTGGAAGATCTGAGCCCAGGATCGGAGGCTGCAGTGAGTTATGATAATGCTACTGCACTCCAGCCTGGGGACAGAGTGAGACTTTGTATCTTAAAAACAAACAAACAAAAAACATTACAATTGATACAAGATCATCAAATATATGCAGCCAAAAAAAGAAAGGTGGAAAATTTATAAACGGTGCTCCAAAAGTCTAGAAACATAGGTGTTTATATATAATAAATAATGATATATAATGTCAGGGGCATCTTCAATCTTTAAAAAAAAATTGTTTCTGGGTTCTCGGATGCCCTGAATCAAGCAGTTCATAAAAATATTATGGTTGTCAGCACAGTGGCTCACGCCTGTAATCCTAGCTATCTGGGAGGCTGAGGCTGGCAGATTGTTTGAGCTCAGGAGTTCGAGACCAGCCTGAGCAGAGCGAGACCCCGTCTCTACTAAAAATAGAAAGAAATTAGCTGGAGGACTAAATTTTATTTATTTTTTAGAAAATATAAAAAAATATATATGGGTATGTGTGTGATGTTTGTGGGTTTTGCTAACTTTTTTTTTTTTGAGACAGAGTCTCACTTTGTTGCCCAGGCTAGAGTGCTGTGGCATCAGCTTAGCTCACAGCAACCTCAATCTCCTGGGCTCAAGTGATCCTGCTGCCTCAGCCTCCTGAGTACCTGGGACTACAGGCATGCACCACTATGCCCGGCTAATTTTGTCTATATATATTAGTTGGCCAATTAATTTATTTGTATTTATAGTAGAGACAGGGTGCCGCTCTTGCTGGTTTCAAACTCCTGACCTGGAGCAATTCGCCCGCCTTGGCCTCCCAGAGTGCTAGGATTACAGGCGTGAGCCACCGTGCCCCGCCGGTTTTGCTAACTTTTAAAAATGGCATTTGTTATTTCTTTCTCCTTATATATATTCAGTTTTCTATCCTTCTGCTCTAAGTTTTTGTACCCTTTTTCCTAATGAGAGTCCCACAAATTGTATGAGCTTCAGTTCCTGCAGAACCAGGATCTGCCTCTTGTCTACAACAAAAGAGAAGTCACTGAAGGTCTCTGCAGCCTCAGTTTTCTTTTTTTAAAAAACTTGGCATTTGGCTTGCATTTCCTCGGAGTTGCTGTAAAGGCCAAAGGAAACTGTGGTGGGTAAGAGAGCTACGCCAACCACACGACTTCCTAAAACGTGAAGGGTCTCTGACCCGGAGGGGGGTCAGGGCGCTTGCCTGGGTGGTCACCCTCCCGGTGCAGACCCTCACGCAGGGCTCGCCTGACCCCAGCCCTGCCGGACCCTGACAGCGCCGGAATAGAACGGAGTGGCGGGGGCGGTTGGGCGGGGAGCGCTGGGCTGTAGCACCCGCCCGCCGGTAGGAAATGGGGTCCCAGAAGATAGGGTGCAGGTGGGCAAGGACGTTTGGGACCAGTGGGAGCTGGGGGCGTGGCCTCTGGTGACGGAGGGGGCGGGGCGCCGGGCCTCGGCCCCTCTCTCAGAGCCCTCTATCCCCCTCAGCAACGGAAGTTCCGGTGTCGGTAAGTGGGGGTCAGAGGTCAGCAGGAAGTCGATACGTGGCCGCCGCCTGTCCCCGCGGAGGAGACGCAGCAGCCGGAGATGGCGGCGGTGCTGAACACAGAGCGACTTGAAGTGTCCGTCGACGGCCTGACGCTAAGCCCGGACCCGGAGGAACGGCTCGGTGCGGAGGGCGCCCCGCTGCTGCCGCCGCCGCTGCCGCCGCCCTCCCCTCCCGGATCCGGTCGGGGCCGGGGCGCCGCAGGGGAGCAGCCGGAGCCCGGGGAGACGGCGGCTGGGGGCGCGGCGGAGGAGGCGCGGCAGCTGGAGCTGCGCTGGGGCTTCGGCCTGGAAGAGCTGTACGGCCTGGCTCTGCGCTTCTTCAAAGGTGAGCCGGGCCGGCCCCACCCCCGCCGCCTCTGCCCGGCCCCGGGAGCCCGTCATGGGCTGTGGTCCCCAGGGTGACTGGACCAGTGTAATCCTCACCCACCCATACTGGGCCGCGGTGACCCAAGCAGGGTTCTGTCCTTGCGGGGGTACCCGAATTTTGTCACTACCCGCTCGGCTACTAGGTCACACCCCTGTGGGGCCTGGAACCTTGGTTTAGCAGTACGAGTCCCGCCTTCCCGAGGTTACCAGGGCATTTTACCTGATTTAGCTTCTCGGGTTTCCAGGAGCCAGAGTGGAAGAATGAGCCCTCTCTATCCCAGAGGATCCCGTTCTGGGATTGCTTTTTCTTACTGACGCTTTCTTTTTCCTATTTTTTCATGGTTTGGCACATCAGACCCCGCCAATTTTTAACCTTTTTCTCATAGTGGAAGAAATCTTTCAGTAGGTTCCATACATAGTCTTTTCAGCTATTCTGGGGAACCTTAAACTCAAATAAGACTTGATCACCTGGCCGTATAGCTATGGCAGAGAGGAGGAAGTAAAGTATTAATTCATTCATCTCCTCCAGTTTATTAAACTATGGAGAAGGGATGTCCACTATGTTCTAGTAACTTCTGGATGGTTAAAATTTGCATTCTCATAGTAAGGCCTTAAAGTACCCTCTGTGCTTTTCGCATAATTGATTGTTAAATGTTTCTTGTCTAGAGCAAGACTGTGGTGTGTGGGGTTTTTTTTTTTTTTTTTTTACATTGGGTGATTCACTTAGTCAAATGGTGGAGAAACCAGTCACATGATTTTGTCAGTGGGAAAGACTGATGAGAAGTCCATTAGTTTGATTCTTTAAGATGTAGGGTGGATGGGCTGGGAGAAACATTCGTAAAAGAAACTTTAAAGGGGAATGCTACATTCCACATACATTCCAGAACAACATATTTATGACACTTTATCCAGAGGGAGTACCTTTTGGAGTACGTATTTCACTGGCTGAAGTTGAGTAGTTCCAATGCAGTGATACTTGTTGAAGTTATTTGTTTTCTCTCAAAATAAATTGTGCAAACTGGTGAAAGTCTCTGTTTTGTAAATTTTCCAGAACATTTGATCACTTCACATTCATTGCATTTTCTTTTTTTTTTTTTGAGACAGGGTCTCACTTTGTTGCCCAGGCTAGAGTGAGTGCCGTGGCGGCAGCCTAGCCCACAGCAACCTCAAACTCCTGGGCTCAAGCAGTCCTCCTGCCTCAGCCTCCCAAGTAGCTGAGACTACAGGCATGCGCCACCATACCCAGCTAATTTTTTCTATATATATTAGTTGGCCAATTAACTTCTTTCTATTTATAGTAGAGACAGGGTCTTGCTCTTGCTCAGGCTGGTTTTGAACTCCTGTCCTCGAGCAATCCGCCCGCCTCGGCCTCCCGGAGTGCTAGGATTACAGGCGTGAGCCACCGCGCCCAGCCTTTCATTGCATTTTTTATTAAAAAGTTTACCTTTGAAATGTTCTTTGTCATTGCCCAGTGAGTTCAGCCCTCTGTGTACTAGCTAGCTTGGGTAATTGGTGATGGCTAATGGGTTTTGGATCTCTTGACCCTTAGGTCACAGTCTTGAATTTTGAGTTTACTATAGTGTAGTGATGTTATATTACTACTTGTATAAAAATCTGCTGGTTTGTGTATAATCCATATAGCTACATTCTACCTTAAATGTTTATTGTTGGCACTTATTTTTCAGTAGATTAAAGTATATTGTAGGCTGGGCACAGTGGCTCACACTCTGGGAGGCCGAGGTGGGCGAATTGCTCTAGGTCAGGAGTGTGAAACCAGCCTGAGCAAGTGTGGAGACCCGTCTCTACTATAAATAGAAAGAAATTAATTGGCCAGCTAATATAGATAGAAAAAATTAGCCAGGCATGGCGCATGCCTGTAGTCCCAGCTACTCGGGAGGCTGAGGCAGGAGGATTGCTTGAGCCCAGGAGTTTGAGGTTGCTGTGAGCTAGGCTGATGCCACAGCACTCAATCTAGCCTGGGCGACAAAGCGAGACTCTGTCTCAAAAATAAATAAATAAATAAAGTATATTGTAGCAGAGAGTAAGAATAGAAAAGAACTAACTTTTAAACCTACCTTTTGCCACATAACTGAAAAAAAGAGATTAGTCCATTTTCTGAGCCCATCTTATTTGAAAATAGTAATATCTTCTTTGAAAGATTGAGACACTATAATATGCAGTAGTTCCCCTTAGCATTGTTTTGAGAGTCAGGAAGCTAGGAAGCTTGGGATTCTGGTTACCATATAAACTTCAAAACAATTAACTTTTCCAGACTGTTTCATATATAGAGAGAGAGCTAGATTAGATGAAATCTGGCATCTCAGATTTAAGATTGAGTGGTCTAAACCTAAAAGATAATTTTAACATGTTTGTTGAGTGGTAGAAATCCTAGAAGAACCTATAATTTGGGGGCCTAGTTATTAGTCACCTTTGAGAATAAAGCTACATTGATGGCTATATAATTCACTCACTTCCTAAATTAAGCTCTCAAAGCAATATCGAAGTACTTAAAAGGAGAAATAGCTGTGTAGCAATTAAAATTTACCTTTCTGCATAGATCATTACATCATTTAGCAGTGGAGAGACTGTTATCTCATATATATGAGATGCTAATTGAAAAAAAAAGAAGGATGTAAAAGCAGTCAGAAGTAAAAGCACTCACCCCACTTATAGAAAGTGAGTGGGGTGAGCCAAATAATGCTGCCTTGGTTTTAATGTGTGAATTTTTCTAGCAGATGACTTAGTATAAAACCAGTTTTGCAGAGGCTTCCTTTTTTTTGGAATAAGGGTCTCACTCTGTTGCCTGGCTAGAGTACAGTGGTATCATCGTAGCTTGTTGCAACCTCAAACTTCTGGGCTAAAGCGATCCTCCTCCCTCAGCCTACTAAGTAGCTGCGACAACAGGGGTGTGCCACCACACCCAGCTAGTTTTTCAGTTTTTTGTAGAGAAGGAGTCTGGCTGTGTTGCTCAAACTAGTCTCGAACTCCTGGCCTCTAGCGATCTTCCTGCCTCAGCCTCCCAAAGTGCTGGGATTATAGGCATGAGCCACTGCTAGAACTTCTAATAGTTCACTATTGTGTGGGGTGGGCTTTTGGGGTGAGTTCTTTGGCGTGGGCTTTTTCTTTTTTAATGCTTTATTGCCTCATTACATTAAGCTGGTAGATTGCATTAATTTAAAATTTCAGGTATCTCACAAGAATTAGAAATAACATTACATTATGTCTTCTGCTGTGGAATAAATATGAATCTTGAAAGCATGGTTATCTTTTTCCATTGAAAATAGCTTGAATTGGCAATGAGGAACCCTGTTTCTCATTCTATCCTTGGCACAGTGGTCATAGGCCAATGACTGAACCCATTATGTCAACTACTCTTAATTTTGTGAGGGTAAAAGTAAAATAATAGATGAAGGTAGAGGTAAATGTAAATTAGCATTTTACCATCTCAACTTTAAACATTATTGAGTACTTATGGATAAAGTTTTATATTGGGTTGCCACTGTAAATGCAGAGTACATTCCTTTTGCTATTAAGGAACTTAGGGCCCAAAAGAGGAGTTACCCAGTGACAACCACAATACATCATGGAGGATTGAGGGAGCAGATGCCATTCCAAAGTGGAGGAAAGCCAGGAGCCATGAAGGTGCAAGGCATGTGTGTCTGGGAAATGGCAAATAACACCGTAGTTGATTGAGAGAGCTGAAAAGTTAAGATCCTGGAACGACTTGAATGCCATTGTAAATAGTTTGTCCTTTTCATTGGTAGATGGTGAGGACCACTGAAGATTTTTTTTTTTTTTTGAGACAGAGTCTCACTTTGTTGCCCAGGCTAGAGTGAGTGCCGTGGTGTCAGCCTCGCTCACAGTAACCTCAAACTCCTGGGCTCAAGTGATCCTCCTGCCTCAGCCTCCCAAGTAGCTGGGACTATAGGCATGCGCCACCATGCCCGGCTAATTTTTTCTATGTATATTAGTAGTTGGCCAATTAATTGCTTTTTTTTTTTTTTTATTTATTGTAGAGACAGGGTCTCGCTCTTGCTCAGGCTGGTTTCGAACTCCTGACCTTGAGCAATCCACCCGCCGGCCTCCCAGAGTGCTAGGATTACAGGCGTGAGCCACCGCGCCTGCCCGACCACTGAAGATTTTTAAAGAGAGGAGCAAAGTTGCCAAATTCTATTTTAGCAACAGTTAAGCTGGGTTTTCTTTTCTTTTCTTTTTTTTTTTGAGACAGAGTCTCACTCTCTCAACCAGGCTAGCGTGCAGTAATGTCATCAGCTCACTGCAACCTCAAACTCCTGGGTTCAAGCGATCCTACTGCCTCAGCTTCCCAAGTAGGTGAGACTACAGGCACATGCCACCATGCTTAGCTAATTTTTTCTATTTTTAGTAGAAATGGGGTCTTGCTCTTGCTCAGGCTGGTCTCGAACTCCTGACCTTAAACTATCCTACCGCCTTGGCCTCCTAGAGTGCTAGGATTGCAGGCGGGAGCTACCGCAACTGGCCTAAACTGGGTTTCTTATCTCCTTGAATTAAGGACCCACAGGAACTCAAATGGATTTGCTTTATTATAGCATTTATTCTTCTTGGATAGAGTTAACCTGGTTTGGTTTTTAGAGTTCTTTGGGGTGGGCTTTTTCTTTTTTAATGCTTTCTTGCCTCATTACATTAAGCTGGTAGATTGTTTGCATTAATTTAAAATTTAAGAGGAATAATTGCTGGTAGTTATTGAGCAGATGTTTGCTAAATGTCAGGTACTATGCTGAAAGCTGTATATACACATTTTTTAATTCTCCCATGGTCCCCTCTAGGAGGGTATTATTCCCATTTTTTAGTTGAGGAAGCTACCCCAGGCCACTCAGTTATTATTTGTAAAAGGAAGGGTTGGTTTTCAGGCTGTCTGATTCCAAAGACATTTCTTACTTCTAGAGATGAAAAGCAAATACAAACCCTGCTTTCTGGTGG